GGGTAAAAGGGGGAGTTCATAATCCACGTGAATCAAACCGTGTAATATGATGTATTAAGAACTATGTAATGTTATGAACGGACCAATAAAAAAAAAAAAAAAAAAAGAGCCAGTTGATTTTGAGCAGTGGATTGAAGATAATGTTGTACACACAGGGAAGCTGTTTGAAAATAAAGAAATTGTGGCTCAAAAAAAAAATAAATAAATAAAATACAATAGGGAAACTATAGATTATCAAGTACTCTATCACAGGATCAAAGATTTCAATACAACAAAATGAAACTACAAACAAGAAAGCAAGAGAGAATTAAAAAAATAATTAACTTAAATGTCAGAACTCCCCCTACCCCTGCCCAAGACAAAAGAAGATAACTTTAACCCATAAAATGGAGGAAAAAAAATAATAATAAGGGGCATTATTATTATTATTTAATAATAATAAATTCTCATATATTGCTGGTGTCTCTCATGATAAATAATTTTTTAAAAGTATACTCCTGGGGCTGGGGTTGTGGCTCAGTGGTAGAGTGCTCACCTAGCACGTGCGAGGCACTGGGTTTGATCCTCAGCACCACATAAAAAAATAAATGAGTAAAATAAAGGTATTGTGTCCAACTACGATTAAAAAATTAAAAAAAAAAAGTATATTCTTTAACAAGACAGTTGGCATTAACATACCCAAATCATTACCAATTCATAAGACCTTGAATTTTCCAATTAAAAATACATATATGCACAAGTTGTGTGGTAGACTCCTGTAATTCCAACAACTTGGGAAGGTGCGGGAGGAGGATCACAAGTTTGAGGCCAGCCTGGGAAACTTGACGAGACTATGCCTCAAAATAAAAAATAGAGGACTGAAGGGGCTGGGTTGTGGCTCAGCAATACAGTTCTTACCTAACACATGTGGGGCACTGGGTTCAATCCTCAGCACCACATATAAATAATAAAATAAAGGTATGGTGTCCACCTACAATTTAAAAAAGAGGACTGGGGATATAGTTCAGTGGTAAAGTACCCTGGGCTTAATCCCCAGTACTGCTATATAAATAAAACAAAATTTTAAAAATAGATATATGTCTATATATTTTATCWTACATCAATGTTCTATATATATATATCTGATGCTAAATGGTTCCAGTATCTACTTGTATTTCTGGCTACCTAACACTTAAATCCTTTTCCCAAGTTTACTGCATGTTTTTCTTACTAATAGTGGGGAAAGGTTTTATCAAACTTCCTTGCAGCCACTGCAATGACTACAAAATGACATTTACATGGTAACAGCAAATTTCTGAAAATACAATAAATATCTATCACAAGGGAACTTGCCAAATCAATTATGGGCCAACCCTACAATGTATATATGATAGGATACTACACTGTGTTACTCTAAACAAAATGGTATACTTCCTACTGACAAAATGTTTCTGATGAATAATTCTATAATTTAAAATAAATCTAATTATTATAAGAATTTATTGGATGATATACTCACATATATATAAACATAAAGTAGAACATTTCTGGTAACACTGCAACAACAAAAATGTAGAAGTGACCTAAATATCCATCACAAAGGAACTTGTTAGATTCTGTTGGGTGAGATACTGGGGATTGAACCCAAGGCCTCACACATGCTAAGCGTGTGCTCTATCACTAAGCTACAACCCCAGACCCTTAAATCAGTTCTTAAGTCAACCATGGAATGCACAATGAGATACTGTGCTGTGTTAAAAATGAACAAAGAGGACATTTCCTACTGATTCCAAACAATTTCCAAGATACATTTTTTTTTTTTTTTTTAAAAGGCTGGTCACCATGGCATGCACCTGTAACTAGGGAGGCTAAAGCAAGACGAGTGAGAGTTCAAGACCAGACTGGACGACATACAGACTGTCTCAACAACAACAAAAAACAAACAAACAAAAAAAATAGGAGGGTAGGAGGGAGGGAGGTTCACATTACAATTTATACATAGACTATTCATGTTTATAGACCATATCAACATGTAAATAGAAGATTCATATTTTTAAGGAATACATTAAGATATATGAATAAAATATCTCTAGAAATATGAATAAAATATCCCTAGAAATACACAAAAGAAATTGATTAGCAGTGGTTCCCCCCAGAGAAATACAGGACTGGAGATAAAGAGTGAGAAGAAAATTTACTTAAGTTATACAACTTAAGTATCTACTTCAAAAAAAAAAAAAAAACAAAACACAACAACAAAAAAAACAGTACAGGGCCAGGAAACAATAGATATAACAGAAAAAGAAAAATACTCCTACAGTATGATACAGAGGGTGGAAATCCTATGAAAAATAGGTAAAGAGTAAGACCTCCCAAGTCAGAAATTTTAAAATGTAAATGTCCAGTAAAGCATATGAAAAGATGCTGAACCCCACCAGTAATCAAGAAAATAAAAATAAAAAAGTTTCATTCATTAGATTGGCAAAAACTTTAATCCAATAATATTCAGCATTGACAAAGGTGTGGGAAATCATTTTGTAATGTATGTTGAAAGGAGTGTAAATACCCTTTCACCAAGTGCTTCCACTTTGGGGATATTATTCTACAGAAATAAAAGCACATATGCAAAAGGATATATGTATGAATACCTTTACTATAGCAATCTTGATCATAGCAACTACATGGAAACAACCTGAATGTCAACAACTGAAGAATGGTTATATATTGTTTGACTTATAAGCATACATCTTTAGTTTGTGTGTGTGTTTTGCTGAGGATTAAACCCAAGGTCTCAAGCATGCTAGGTTAGCACTTTACCACTGAGCTATATCCCCAGGCATTTTTATTTTGAGAGGATCTCACCAAGTTCCCCAGGTTAGTTTCCAACTTTCAATCCTCCTGCCTCAGCCTCCTGAGTATCTGGATTACAGGTGTGAGTCACCCCACCCAGCTAGTATGTACTAAATTATAACTGAAAAAAATTCAATAGAAAAAAACATTGAAATCCAACACTAACCTGAAATCAGCTTTCTCCTCTTTTTCTTGTTTGGCTCCCTCTTCTTTTCAGTTAGGCCCTCTTCTTTTTTCTCTTCATTTTGGAGTTCCTGGTGTGTTTGTGATACTTCACAATCACCTAAGACAGACTTCTTGTTTCCAAAGAAGTCCAGTCCCTGCATCGCTTCTGAAGAATCAAAGTCATATTTCCTTTTCCCTACCTAAAACCCAAAAAAATTTAAATGAAACCTGACAGAATAGTATTGCTTTCATCCAAGGACTTGCAATAAGAACATAAAACAAATGACTTCCCAACCTTTTTATTCTTTCACCAAATATTTGTGGAGCTGATGAGTATGTTTGGGCAAAAAGAATCTAAAAAGACCTTTTTTTTTTCACTTTATAATAGTAACAATAATAATAATAACATGAACTCTTACATATATTTACTCTATGTCAAGCAGATTTCTAAGCATTTTATATATATTAAATTACTTCATTCTCACAGTAACTCTATGTATAGCAAAAAAGAGCAGTATTACAGATGTAAAAGCAAGGCATTAGGAAGTAACTTGACCAAGGTCTAGAAACTATTAAATGGCATTTGAACCCAATACATATTGCTCAAGAACAAATACAGATCTAGCATTTGGACCCAGAACATGTGGCTGAAGAACTACAGTAAACTGCAATCAAAAGAAACACACATGTTGCACGGGGCGTGGATGGGGTGGAAGTTTGGGGTGGTGTCTCTATTCCCTTACAGAGAGGTTGACATTCAAGTTTTTCCACACTGGACCCCAAATGATTTCTCTCAATTGTCACTACTTTCCCTATGTAAGATCTCTTATTCCTAACTTGCTCTTCTCATTGGTCACTTAACGTGCCGCGGGTTGGAGCAATTAAAAGAACCACGTCCGATACAGCTATATGCATATCAAGCCAAACCTGGTCGTCTATAATGGAAAAAAAATATTTTTGAAATTCCTTTTCACCCGTTTTGGGAAAAGTTCCTTTTAAAAGGAATTCCGATTTTGTTTTGAATAAGAAGTAGGGAAAGAGTTTCTGCATCAGGATCAACCAAGTCTACCAAAGGCTCTAAAAAGATTCATTCGGAAGCGAGCGCTGGTTAGGCCTGCGAGTAAGCTGAATTCCCAAAAGAGGAAAAATGCCCCACGGAGGGGCAGGGCCAGAACATGGTGTCTCCGGGTGCGTCGGCTCCCTCCGCAGCCGGTTTATTCTCACACTTCTGCTTCTTCTCAGTCACTCCGGCCTCGGTCCCCTACGCACAGTACCTGGAATCGAGCTGCGTCTGCTGAGAAGCGTTTCACGTCGAATTTGGCTCCCGCGCCTAGACGGCGAAAGAGATCGTGGACATCCATCTTTACCCAGAAAGCTTCGCGAGATCATTGCGTCTGCGCAGTCGACTTCCTTTTCCGGACGGCCTTACTTCCGGCGGAAGTGCCTCCGGGGGAGGAGCCTGCCTGTGATTGTGGGCTGGGTGGTATTATCGTCGCGTAGTCAGTCGCTACTTATAAATTCCCTAAAAAAAATGTTAGTATCTTCTTATGCCCAGGCCCTGTTTAGATTTTTTAGGGAAAGTCTGGTGAAAAACATCTCAAGATTCTTGTCCTAAGAGAGCTTACATTTTAGCGGGGACAGAAGATACTGTTAACAAATTAACAAGACAACCTAATTTTGGTTATAGTTTACTACAGTTTTCCTCTATAGTCTACCAGGTTTGGCTTGATATGCATATATCTGTATTGGACGTGGTTCTTTTAATTTCTCCAACCCTTGGCACGTTAAGCAAATCGAAAGGTGTAATTGGTAGAGAAGAGTGTGAGGAATTGCTTATAGCTAGAGTAATCAACTCTGAAGTAGTGATATTTGAGCTGAGAGAAGGCATCCCAGATAGAGAAAATACGTGTTGGAAGAAGGGAAAAGATTTGGAACTGTGGGAATAGAAGATCAGAGTGACTGGAGCCAAGCTGCAGTGAGAGAGTGTTACAGATAGAGTTGGAGGGATAAGTAAACTAGATCTCAAAAAATTTTGTAACCAGATCATGATAAAGATTTTGGATTTTAATGTAAACATGCTAGGAAACTATTGAAAATTTCTATATAGAGAGCAACATGATTTAGTTTATCATTTTATTTTTTATTTTATTCATTGCATTTGTTGTACATAAAATTGCTTACTTCAGTATTGCCTCTCTTCTGGAAGTCATGAACTCAGGGATCTGTTTGCTTCTGTGTTCTGTCTCCAGTTTCTATGCACTTTCCCATCCAACTACTAACCAGGCTTGATTCTGCTTAGCTTCCAAGATCAGGTGCATTTAGGGTGGTACATCTATAGATAGTTCCTGTGTGCTCTCAAAAAAAAATATTTGAGAAATGAATAAGTGAATGTTTGTAAAAAGATTACTCTGGCTATTTGGAGAATGAACCATAAAAGGGCCAAGAGTAGAAACAAACTAGTAAAAATAGGAGTGATGGTGGTAACTTGTTCTATGATAATATCTGTGTAAATGGATAGATTTTGGTTATAGTTAAGTGGGTAGAACTTAATGTAACTATTGAATTTCATGTAGAGGTGAGGGAAAAGGAGGAATCAAAGATCATCCCTAGGCTTTTGGCAGGATATATGATGTGCCATTTACTGAGCTAAGAAAGACTAATGAAAAACAACTTTTGGTGGAGTTAAGAAATAAAGGGTGGAATTGTTAATTTTTGCACACAGTAAGCTGTCTAGTTGATTATAGTGAAAACATTCAGCCAGGTAAGTAGTTGGTTCTAAAAGTTTGAAGCTCAGGAAAAAAGATCAGGACTGGAAAAATAAATTAGGGAGTCAACATATAAATGGTACAATGGAGTCACATTCTACAATCATTTAACTTCTTAAAATTTAGTTGTATTCATCAAATAGTGTGAGTGATTCCCTTACATCTGAGGAGAGCAGGTGTGAGTGGGTGTGAGATGAGAGAACAGCAAACCTGCTGTTCCCTTGGGTGGATTCAGTCCCTGAATCACTCTTACAGCAGAAATACCTTGCTATTCCAAGTATGTCTACTCCCTAAAAATAGAAATTTTCCAAGCACATTATTTATAAATAATAGATAAGTAGAAACAATTTGCTTGTTAAAAACAGTTTGTTTCAACATAGAGGAAAAAAAGTCAATTGTTCAGGCTTACTAGGAAATGGACTGTTGATCTTCAATTTGGCATGTAAATATGACCACAGCCATGTATATAATCAAGAAGCATGAAATCATAATCACTGTACCTTATGGGTAATTAAAAGAATTTTTAAGAAAAAAATCAAATTCATGAGATTTGTTTTTCTTCATGAACTAATTTATAACCCTATCCCTGTACAAGTAGTGACAAGCTTATATCCAAAAGCATGAATATGCATGTGGTCACTGAGAAAGTGTAAGAAAAAGGAACCCAGGACTGACCCTTCTGGTGCTCCAACATTTTGAGATCAGGTAGAGGAGGACATGTCTGTGTTACTTCTGAATCCCAAATGAGATCATGCTTCTCTGCTTAAAAACTGTTTGATTTTGTGTGGTCCATTGAATGTGGTCTGAGTTCCTATAACTTATATGGAAGATCCTATGGGGTGGTTCTGAAACTTTTTTGTGCTTCATAATTGTGATGCTTCCTTGAGTAACTTCAGATTGGGTTCAGCTCTCAGCCCTATCACTTATCTGCTGTGAGACCTTGGACAAGTCACTTATCCTTGCTAAAGCTCAGTTTTCTCATCTCACTTCAGCTTTGTTTCTTCTAACTCTCAATTTGTACATATTTTTCTTTCTTTTTGGAATATTCTTTCTCCCTTTCTTCATTGGCAAACTCCTTATATTTTTCAAAACCCAATTTACATGTCTTATTATACTGAATGTCTCCTGCCTGACACAATTCATCTTTCTTTGAGTTTTCATGTCACTTTCTAAGTACATCTATTTTAGCTCTTTTCCTGTTACATAGTAATTTTATTTCCACTTTTGTCTACAGACTTTGAGCTTTTCAGGGGCTAGGCCTGCGTTTCATTTAATTGTTTTCTCAGCGTGGAGTCTGTTTCATAGTAAGTTGCCAGAAAATTTTGTTGAATTAATGAAGTGAGATAAAGACTCTGACACTGAAAACCTTGTGAATTTAGGAATAGATCTATATGTCTTTTGCTTGGTGCTTTGTAATACATTTTGGTTAAGTGAATGAATGGAAGCTGTCAGACTTAATACCATTTCTTGCCTTAACAAAGTGCAGCTGAGTCATCCAGAGACCATTTCCTCTTGGGGACAAAAATAAAACTATTTAAAAGCATCATCAATAAAAGTGGTGAGGAAATTGAATCATGGTTTTGTGTAACTGGAATTTCTCCAAAAACTAGTATGGTCTGACTGGTAGACACACATGGTTTCTCAACTGTAGCAAGTGAGAACACAAAGTTTGTATAACACTGCAGTGCTGGCTAGCTTGGCCTAGCTTGTTATTATGAACAGAATGAACACTCCTTGCCCAAAAAGTGTGTTTTGGAAAAATTTTTTTCTCCTCTACTTCCTGCCTATCATTCAACAAACTTTTGGTGGTGTTTTTACAGCACTCCATCATAGACAAGGGCCTAATTCAACAATGAATTAGTTAAGAGTCCTTGCTCTCAAGCAGCTTAGAGTCTACTAGGGATAAAGAGCTGTTTTCCAACAAAGCAAGAAAATTCACTAGGTCCAGCAGTATAAGTTACAGGAAGTAAGGGAGTAGTCACTGTAGTGGCAGAATGGGCTGGGTTTGTGGGAAGCTAGGAAAGGCTCTGAAGATACAGTTAGCAAAGCTTTTTAAAAAATAAGATGTTAACCAATAGTCAAAGCACTTAAATAGAACAGCAGTAATGAATGTAAGGATGCAGAAACAGCCTGTTGTGTCTGAGAATCTGCTAGTGATTCAACAAAGCTGGAGACAAGAATGCAGCAAGAGTGGAGCTGGACAGGTGGGTAGGGACTCGCCCATGAAGGGCCTGTGTACTGAGGCTCTGAGAGCTGTTCAAGGATGTTAAGCCAGTGATATCGACACTTTGTAATTTTAAAAGAGCACAGCAACATGGAAGGGAGGCAAATCCAGAATCAAGAAGTCCAGAAGAATAGTACAGTAGCAGTCTAGTGAGGAAAGAAAGCAGGAGCATTGGGAAGTGGAGAAAGGAGCAGGCCTAAGTCACATTAAGGACATAATGTGATTGGATGTAGGAGGACAAAGGGACGAGAAATTAAAATTACTTCCAGGTCTCCAACTTAGGTGATGGAATGAGTGTGGGTCTGTTCATGGGGAATGTAGATAGAAAAGATATGAAGTTTATATTGTGTGAGGACAGTAAAATAAGCTTAATTCTGAATAGGTTGAGTTTGGGATTTCTGTGGGATACTCGAGTGCAGTTTCTGATGGTCATTTGGAAAAAGGAATTATTATTTCTTTCCAAAGGGAGCTAGAAACTTCTGAACCATAGCTTTGGGGCTATAATTAAAATCTAAGCCAAGAAGAGGATGATTGGCTGTGGGTAATACAGTGGGACAAAAACCTCACTTTGTGTGGGGCTGAGGTTTTTTTTTTTAATATTTATTTTTTAGTTTTAGGTGGACACAATGTCTTTATTTTATTTTTTTATGTGGTGCTGAGAATCAAACCCAGTGCCTCACGCATGCTAGGCAAGCATGCTACCACTTGAGCCACATCCCCAGCCCAGGGCTGAGTTTTAAATTTCAAATTCTTAAGATACATCAATAGTCTAGTACTTAAGAGACCCAATCAAGTGCTTAAGAAATTCAAATTATTCTATGTATTTTTAAAAACTTCTTCTTTTTTTTTTTTTGCCATCAAGAGCCAATGGAGTGTACTTTGCAATCTTTACTGTAAGTAAAATCAATGTAAATGTTGCTGCTCAGCCTTGTAATGAGGACAGAGTTCAAGGAAATATCGCCAACACCAAAGCTGACCTCAGGGTGGCACTCCAATCTTGTCTGAAAAAGAACTCTGGACTCATCTTACTGATACTATGTACACAGACCACATGGAAGTAAGGAGTTGACATGAACTCTGGGTCCATAGAACCCACAGTTTACTTAGCAGAGAAATTAAGTGCATAAATATACTTTTTTGTTTGCAAATCACCTTGGATGGCAATGAGGTATATGATGTGGCAGAATGTCTCCACTCCCCCCGCCCCTCCAAAATTTCATCAGGGTTCAAAACTAACCAAAACAACATTTTCATTGTTATTAACAGCTGCCAGGTATTGAGTGCCTCATGTGTGCCACATAGAATTCCAGGTGCTTTTCAGATCATATGCACTCATTGAACTGCCACAACAGCTCTATGAGGTTGGCGTTATTCCCAG